AAAAGAAACAGTAAAGCATTCAAAAATAAAGCAACTGAAGAAAAGAGCATTAGATTAATATTTCATGCTCAAAAATTGAGCTACAAGTTCAATAATTCAGTATCGGCAGCCGCCCACAAGCGGAAAATAACAGCTGCCGAAATACGTACATAAGCAAAAAAATAAAACTGCTGTACGACAAGGCAAGCTGAAGCAAAAAAACAAGGCAAAAAACTCAGAAAGCGGCAAGTCTAAAGTTAAGCACATGATGAACCGCAAGATTCTGAAGACGACTGCCCGAGTTCCTATGCTTCAGCCGGGGGATCAGACTGATCAGCGTTGAGCCCCATGGTGGCCTCAGCCCCAGCAGCAGAAGAGGCGGGCTTTGCACTTTGCCGAGCCTCCCTTTCCCTCTGCTCAGCTTCCAACTCCAGTCTTTCAGCTTCCTCTTCGGCTTCCTCAGCCTTAAGAATTTCAGCTTCGGCTGGAGTTGCAAACTTCATGTGAGGGTCTTCGGGATTCTGGACCCACTCAGCACATTTAGACCAGTCCAGCTTCGGCTCAGCATGAAGGCAGACTCTTCGGCATACTCGGAATCCGTTTCTGAAACCCATCTCATATTCCTCTTGGGTATAGACACGGACTTTGAGTAAAGCCTCAGCATCAGCCAGCTTCTTCTGGGTCTCCTCCAAGTCTTCCTTGGATTTCTTCAGCTCATCAGCGACTTGGGAGGAGGAGCCTTTCAGCTCATTCAGCTCTTGCTGAATTTGGGAAGCCTTTGTCTGAGCCTGGGCCACTTCAACTTTCTGGATCAGCAGTTGATCCTCAGCCTTTTGGAACTTAGCTCTTTGAGCTTCAGCAGCAGCAGCAGCCTCTGAGAGTTGGACGTCTTTGGCCAGGAGCAATTCTTCAGCAGCCATTCGGCTGGCTTCAAGAGCCTCTAGACGCTGCTGCACTTCAGCTTGTGCAGCAGTTCCTTCTTGAATTCGGCTCTCAATAGCAGCCTTGAATTTGGAGACGTCCACTCCCATATGCTCCTGGAGGAATTTTTCCCCTTCCATCAGTGGGGGAAAAACCTCCATCTCCATAGCATCGCAGAAGGTATTCAGAGCTTCGGCAGCTTTTTTACCGTACTCCTCAACCTCCTGCTGCTTCTCTTCAGCTGCTGCTTGCTTCAGCTTAGCAAGCTTAACTTCCTCTTCAGCCACCTTCTTTTCGTGCACAGCAGCGTCTACCCTATCTTGTAGGGTATCAATCAGCTCTACAGTGAGAGTCTGATTGTGCACGAACTGAAAACAGGAAGACAAAAAAAAAAAAAAAAATAAAAAAAAAAATATATATATGTAAAGAGCTGAATTTCGGAGGAAATGAAGGAAAATTACCTGCATCATCAGCAGTTGGTTAGACCTGGCTGGGTCAGGAACTGATCTACTGGATTCGCCCATCCCAGCAGTGGCCTTCAGCGACCAGATCCTTGCCCTGTCTACTTCGGACATGCCAGCAAAATTGCCGAAGTAGGCTGCAGCTCCTTCTCGGTTTTGACCCCATATGAGGTCCCAGATGTGATCTGGGATTGGAATTCGGGGGGCCGAGAAACCCATTTCTCCAGAATGCAGAGTCTGGAAAGAAGGGAAGGACGACGATGGAGCTTGATTAGCCTTGGTTGTCTCAGCATCGTCCTTCTCAGAGGAGTCAAGTACTATGACCTCCTCTTCTTCAGGGGTGAGGACGAAAGCCTCAACCTCTCTTGCGATATCTGCCGTGAAGCCTTCAGCACTTGACATCACGGCATCTTTATTTTCGTGCTCAGCAGCACTCTCCTTGATTTCTTCTTGGACCCCTCCCTTAGGTTCGGGAGTTCTCTGATCCACCTCCATCTCAGGAGGTGGCGGAGGGGTCTTTTGAGGAGATTGGGGTGTTGGCTGGGGAACCCTCGGCGATCCATTGCCTTCCTCAGGTTCCCTTATTGCGACGCCGATGGTCATCGGCCTCTGCTGAAAGTCATGAGGGCCGATGATGGCCATCCTTCGGCGCCTTTTCAGAAGAGGCTGCTCGTCCATATCTGAGTCTGAAGACTCTTGTATTTGATCTTCGGGACGAACAGGAGCTTTGCCTTCTCTGTGTCTGTTACTCTCTTCAGACTGTAACAGACAGGGGGGAAGAAGAGTGAATAAAAAAAAAAAAAATGAAAATGAAAATGAAAAGAAAAAAGTTGTCTGAAGCTCACCGAGGTTTTCAGCAAAGCCTCGTCTTCTTCAGCTGCTCTAGCTGCAGCTTCGGCCTCAGCAGCTCTGGAGGACCCTTCTCCTCCTTCGCAAGCCTCAAGTACCCGTGCAACCTCTTCGGCTGTGCGGGCAGCTTCAGCTTCTTCGTTCAGCAGCTGAAACCAAGGGTCTCTCTTCTTCCACCAAGGCTTCTGCCTCTGATACAGAGCAACAGCCTCAATTTGGAAGTGGGAAGAATCCAGATGAACTTCCCTATGCCTCGGCTCAGTGATAGACGGGGCCCGTTCAGTTACAACTCGCTCTCGGTTAACACCAAGACGAGCGTAGTTAATACCAACGTTGGTCTCGTCCCGCTCTGAAAAAAGGGAAAGGGAAAAAGTTTAGCTCAGATATGTTGGCACAGCATAAAAAAGCAAAGCGAGAGAAGAAAAAGAGGTAGTTAAAAGCCTCGGCCCCAGCCGAAGAAGCTTACCATCCTTAAACTTTCGGCTGAGGCCAACAGCTGCTAGCATATTCTCTTGGAAAACGTAATGCGTATCGGGGAGCCAAGTCTCCGGGATATGCTGCATTCGACCACTCCCCCCCGGGTTCGGCAGCTTGCCGAAGATATGTTGCTGATCCAGGTTCGGATCCGCCCCGTTATCTGCGGGGGGACCTAGACTTCCCATTTCGGGATCAGGCTCAGCTAAGTACCGGGGAGCGCTGAAGACGCAAGGGTGGCCCGGATCTATGGGTGCCCTAACCCAAATCCATTGACCTCTCCAGTCCTTGTCTGAAGAGTCATTTGGCCACATGGTCAAGTATTGGGGCCGGGACTCAATCCGATACCACCCAGAACCATGGCTTCCGTGCCCACTCTGAATATTTGGCACTAGCCGATGGAGCTTTCTGAAGCAGTGCAGGTTCGGCACGTATTTGAAGAACTTGCAGACCCATAAGTATGTCATCACCCTTCGGATGCTGGTGGGGGTTAGCTGACATAGGGAAATGTTGTAATGGATCAGCAAGTCTCGGACGAAAACGTCCAAAGGGAACCTCAGCCCATACTGAAGCTGTCTCGTGTACACCCCCACATACCCCGGGGGTGGACGATGGATTCTATCGGATGCTGAGGGCATTCGGCACCAATATCCATCAGCTTCAAAAATGCCGTAGTGCAACTCAATTTGCTCAGCAAATCGATATTGATCGGCGTTCTCTACCCACCATGAGTAGGGGCGGTTCTTTATCATGGCCGAAGCGACTTCGGCATTCTCCCACTCTGAAAACCCAGGGAGGATATCCCAAAGGACAGCGGGAATTTCATCGTCCCGTCCAGAAGCACTCGGCTCATCCGTTCTTTGAGGAGGAGCCGAGGAAAGGGGAGTCGCCCTAATCCCTTCAGCAGGGTCAGACTCCGGCCTTTGACCATTCCAGGTCCCAATCCTATTCCTAGGATCGGGAATCGGCCTTGCTCTTCTTGGAGCACGGGCTCTACCTCTAACTCCTCTTGCCATGGATTATTTCGAAGAGAAAAGTCGAAAGAAAAGGGGAAGGAGTTCGAATTCGAAGAAAAATAAACTGAAATCAAAGGAATTTACCTTAATCTGAAGCGAAAGTTGCCGATTTACGAGTTCGTAGTGGCAAGTCTCAGTTTCTAAGCTCAATGCTCGGGGGAATTTGCGAAGTTTTGATGCGGGTTCTTGGTTTCTCTCTCGAGGAATTCTGGGTTTGTGTTGGTGAATAAGTGAGGAGAATGACGCGCCTCTGTTTATATCTCCAGGTACGGGATACGAAGAGTCTGTGCTTTAATTTCTCTTAAGTACCCACTAAGTAACCATTAAACACATGTCTTGTGATTAAACTGCCCATTATCCGTCCAACTTCCGCAAATCATTAACCGTTGTTATCTCATTAATTACGGTTTAAATTCAAATTTTTGGATCAATTAAATCATTTACTTCCCTCCTTTTCTGAGTTAAATCAAACCCGACCCGTCATTCTTCCAAATCGGGTCTGGGGGGCAAGTTGTTTGGGTCCAATTTAGTCAAAGTTGGGCCTGAGCACTAAATGATCCAATTAAAAGCCCAAGGTCAAGGTTCAACTCTCCAATTGCTCAAAAGTCAAAAGTCAGCCCACAAAGTAAGCCAATTGGGCTAAAGCCCAACCTCTCCAAGTATGATGAGGTATAAAAGCCATCATATTAACACATTCAAAGGGACATCACATATGATCATTGACATTCCAATTCATATGCTCATTCTTGCATTCAGAAATATTCCACAAAAGCCTCAAGCTACAAACTCTCTTGCATAGTGTCTTCCTTCTACACATTGTACTGACTTTAGCATCGGAGGGGCCTTCCTCGGAAACACCCCCGAGGCTAGTTTACGTGTGTTCACTGTGCAGGAAACCTTCGGCCCAACACAACTTGGATCGAATCCAGTCTTCTCCATTTCAGTGGACCTTCGGCAAGGTCCCATTGTTTTCAACCGAAACAAACGTAAACAGCAAAATGTGATAAAAGAAGAATTCAACTAGCAAAATTATGCAAAGTATAGTATTTCATTAGCATAATCCCACATTTTCAAAGTTTAAATTAATAGTAGTAATAAAATTATACTTCGTAATGTAATCACTGTTAAGCGTTGTATAAGCATACAACAAGTTTAAAAGGCTAAATCGCATAACACCAGAGAAGATTTGATTTAAGATGACTAAACATGTTGTGCACCATATACCCGTAGTATACGGATTTTTGCCTCGAGTTGAAGATGAATACTAGCAAGCAAGGTTACAAATTCATAAACAAATTCCTAAACATGATAATTTTGTTTTCATTTTCATTACAAAATTCAACAATAAAAAACATGCACTCCTAAATACATATTTACTAATAATCTAATAAACCTCCACTCCTATCTAAATAAGATGAGAATCAAGAAAATCACAATAACATAACCTACCAAATAAAGTGGGTTTTCAAGTTTTCAAATTTCAACCATCATTTAAACACAACAAATTCCTAAAAATTACATCGACAAAAAAAAAAAAAAAACTTCATAATTTTTTCATATCATTTCACTAAACAAAAAAAACCCACAAAATAAAAACAAAAAACTAACCTATTACATGAAACCATGAAGATGAAGAAGTTGTAGTAGTAGTAACAATAATAATCAAGATAAAATATACCAAACATTTAATTAATTTCTCACATTAGTAACCTGGTCTAGCAGTAGTAGTAGGAGTGGCCCAAATAACATCACCTGCAGCCGTGGCCGAAGTCGTCGGAGTATTCCCCAAATGATTCCCACTATACAAGCTCATCGTCCCACCACCATCTCCGCCACCCGATATAGCCGAATTCTCCTCTTCATTGCCTTGTCCATGGCACAGACTATTCGGCTGCATCTCTTGCTCGTCAAGAGGCAGCCGACAGTATGTAGGGTTGGTGAACGACGCTGCTATGACGTAGACGGTTCCAGAACAAGCTAGTGTGCCCACTACCTTGCCACCCACAATCTGCCCTTGTGGGCCCGCCAATGATATCGTGAACCCTCCACCACCACCCTGAAACGGCACCGTATTGACAACAACAACAGCGGAAAGAGACAAAATATCGAATCTCCCGTGAAAAGTGACGGTCCCACCTGGGGTGGTTGTGGAGGGCTGTTTAAGCGTAACATTTGCTACCGCCCCAGAAGCGGTTAACACGCAAAGGCCGACGCCACGGCGGCGCGTGAAGCGCGTGAGTGAGTCGATGACGTCAGCGCCACTAGGGAGCTCAAGAATGTAAGGTGACATGGCAGGGTCGGGTTCACGGGTTATGACAACTGGGGGTTTGGGCTTGTTTTTCGAGCCGGGTGGTCTGCCACGTGGACGGCGGGAAACCTCGATGGTCCCACCATCTTCATTGCTGGTTGTAGTGGTGGTAGTTTGAGCAATAATCTTAGGTTTTTTGGTGATAGATTCGTGTAGATTTTGATTGTGATGAGTTGGGGTTGTAGTAGTTGTTGCGGAGTCGGATTCTTCGGAGAATGGGTGGTGAGAGTGGTGGAGATGTGGTGGAGGAAAGTGGTGTTGGTGGTGGTGAGGAGGAGGAGGGGGTTGGAATTTGGAGTGGTGAGAGAATTTTGCAAACATATTGTGTGCATTATTTTGAGTATTGTTGTTGTTGATATCATTTTCTTCTTCTACATATTCTCCTTTCATTTTTTTATGATTTTTTTTAAATTTGTTTGTTTGATGGAGATAGGTATTCAATATTTTTTTTTATTTTTGTGAAATTTATGGATAATATAAAAAAATTAGGATTTGGGGTTTTTTTTTATTTTTAAATTGAGAAATGGGGTTTTAAGAGGGTTGAAGAAAGATTGAGTTTTTTTTTTTTAATATTTTTTTGTGGGTGAATAATGGAAATGAAGAAGGTTAAAATAAGGGAGGAAATGAAGAGGAGAGAGAAAGAAGGAGGTGGGTGAGCTTTGAAACAAAGTAAAGGGGGCGCCGCTGATTAGAAATGGGGAAGGGGGGGTGATGTGGTGAGGTCCAGAAGAGAGCATAGATACAGACAGGGAAGGTGACAGAAAGAGAGGTGTCTTGTGTGGGCATCACTCTGGTGTGTGTTTCAATTCCAGTGCAAGGCTTTGCCTAATTTAAGGACTTACATTACTTTGGCTAATGGTATCGTGTGTTAGTTGGTTTACTTGGCTTGTTTCATTAGTCACATATTTAGCTTGTATACTCGTATGACTTTAGACCTCTAATTATTGTTTGAATGTATAAGTGGGTCGATACTTAATAGCCTAATAGGGTGTACCACTAACTTTGATGTTGGACATGTATGGATGTATGATAGTATAGGTATTAATGTTGGATGCGTTAAATGATATGACACCGTTAATTTTATATAATCCTCACTTCTCTATTAACTTTAATAATCTTCCTATGTCCTCTCCCTTACCTAATCCCCCGACTCTTGTTTTGACATCCTTAAGCACTTCATTTAAATTTTATTAGAATTCGACGAAATTTATTATGTCACCAAGGTGTACCAAGTATTGTGGAAATTGGTTAAGTTAGTTTGGAATATGGATAGGGAAGCACACTTGTGCTTACAATTAGCACACATGAGCAACTAATTCAATTGTGCATGGGAAGCACAATTAACTTATGCTTATGCTTCTCGTCAAAAAAAAAAATTGCTTATGATTAGTTGAGTACCAAGTTCAATTGAGGTCAGGGAGATCAGATCTTGCTCGATTTTCAATTAGGTTGTTGCAATTTGACTTGGCATATTAATGTGGATCTAATTCTCGAACAAGCTAACGTATGTAATTTAATTTCAGCTATAATATGTATGACATTCACACTTCAAAACATTTATGACATTTGAGATAAATTTGAGAAAAATAATTAATATGTTCAAGTTATCAGTTCCTATAAGATAAAATCGCTAAAACACAAAAATTCCAATCATATGAAGTATGTCATTTCTTGAGAGCTTTGTAATCACTCATACATGATCATTATTACATATGGCTAGTATTAGGCCCTATACTTTTGAGCTGTTGTGATCGATTCTACAAAATTAAAATTTGTTTTGTTCAGCTCTGCGCTACTCAGCTCAGAAACTCAAACGAACCGGTCTTAACTATGTTGTATGTGTTGTATTTACTTAAATTTGTAGTTCTCTTTGCTTGCTCATCCTTCCTAGCTAGTTATTTATTACTCCGTACCATGCATTTACCATAACTAAGGGCCTGTTCTCTTCTGTTGAAATTCAGTTCAGTTCAGTTCAGCTCTTAATTTACGTTAATGATATTGCTAATGATATAAAGACAAATGTCATTCTTTTAAGCTCTTATTACAACAACAACAACAACAACAACAACAACAACAACAATAATATTATTAATAATAATAATAATAATATTAACAATAATAATAATAATAATAATAATCAATAAGTAATAAATAATAATAATAATAATAATAAATAATAATAAATAATAATAAATAAATAATAATAATAATAATAATAATCAATAAGTAATAAATAATAATAATAATAATAAATAATAATAATCAATAATAATAAATAAATAGTAATAATAATAATAATAATAATAACAATAATAATTGAAATAATAATAATACTAATAATAAATAATAATAATAATAATAATAATAATAATCAATAAATAATAATAATAATAATAATACTAATAATAAATAATAATAATAATAATAATAATAATAATAATAATCAATAAATAATAATAATAATAATAATAACAATAATAATACTAATAATAATAATCAATAAATAATAATAATAATCATCAATAATTAATAATAATAATAATAATAATAATAATAATAATAATATTGTTATTATTATTATTATTATGTACATTTGTATATACACATATGTATAGTAATAAATAATCAATGATCACTAATCCGTAGTTAAAAATCACTAATTAATAAGTTCAGTTCAGCTCTGTTCAATTCAGCTCAGTTCAATTCAGTTCAGTTCAGCTCAGTCAATCGAAACAGGCCCTAAATTGGGTATACATGTAGTATTAGTAAAACAATTATACAATTATTTATTTACAAAGAATGTTTTTTAGCAATTACCATGAATCAATCAGTCATATACTAAAACAATTATACAATTATTTATATGAGAGTCAATGATGACATTAAATAGGATGAACCTTAAATATTAATGACAATTTTGTCAGTGTCTATTTGTCGGCTAATTTCATCTCCCATTTCTCGCAACTTTTTTTTTAAAATCTTCCTGAAAATATGTCAAGCTGAGGCGGTGAATGGTACGGAGTAGAATAAAGTGATTTTTAATTACCAAGTCAAACACCATTTCAAAGCTTAACACCCCTCTTTCGAATACATGAGTTTTACTTTTTATTTAGGATCACAACAATAAGACTTGGAATTATTTTTAGAAAGTCAATGCATAAATTGATAGAAAAGTTAATTAATGTAATGTAACATAACCTAGCATAGTAAATTACTAAATTAGTGACATTCAAGTACATTATTTAAAATAAATAAGATGTACGTATATTTAATTAAGTTGTAAAATTACAAAAAAAAATCTAATGGAGTTAATCGACGCTTGCAAAGTTGCAATGCATCGACACTTCAAATTTTAAGTAGGAAAAAGGAATCTCATCTTTAAAGGCACCTGTTAGAGAGTAGAACTCATTGCCACAAAATCACAAGCTTAAGCTTTCATGAAATCTACTAGATCAAAATTAGTACACCACTTTATTTTAAATGTTGAGAATCACAAAGTATAGTGCTAATTAATTAACCAAGTGCATAATAATGCAAAGTACATTTCATAATAATCACAATATTAATATTAGACCAACGAGATCTTAATCTATTGATTAGGACTGAGGGCTTGTGCACAATATTGATGACACACCACGAGTGCTACCCCTCAAAAAAAAAAAATCAGCAAAGTGTTCAAAATTGCTATAGCATTTATTTTGTATATATATAATTGTATGATATTACGAAATGTTATGCGTTGGTTCGGTGGTGCGGAAGTATGGATAGAAAGTTGTATGCATGAATGGTTAGGGTTCGAGACCTCAAGGCAATAAATTTTTTTAATTTTTTTTTAAAAAAATTTAATCCTTTTTAAATGAAAACTTCCCATATTCATATAAGTTACTACGTAGAAATTGCTTTCTAATCTACAATACTCTCTCCATTCATATTAATTCTTCCCATTTTCATACATACCTTTTTTTTAAAGCTCATATTTAATCATTAAATTATTTAGTATTAAATCTTGTTCGGTTGATTGTTGTATAAAGCGACAATCTAAATAGTACTACATCCGCTTTTAGATACTTGTTTATTTCTTGATGCGCGGAGATTTAGGAGAAATTGGAGAAAGTCATAAAGTAATAAAATATAGAGGTAGCGGGGTTAGTAAAAGATATACTACGTATTAGAGAAGAGATAATCCAAAGTTAAAAAAAAAAACATTTTATTAGATCCCACTAGTTAAGAGAAGTGAATGAAATATTGTAAAAGTTTCCGAGATAAGGAAATAGAGCAAGACAACAAGTATTTAAAAATGGCCGGAAATGAAAAGTGGAACAAACATTTAAAAACGGAGGAAATATATTATATTATATAACGACTACTTTATAAGTTCTACTTACTTACGTTTTTTTAATACGTTATTTAATGCGCAGTGCTACCCCTAGTTAGAAATCCTGGATCCGCCACTGCACGAGTTAGGCACAAGGCATATGCATAAGGGGTTGCCCGGGAGGGCATAAGGGATAAGACATACATAAAACCACATAAGAGATAAGACAACATAAATGAAAGCAAACCATGGTTACAAGGTCACGACAAGGCAAAATAAACAAAGCAACTTAAGACATGATAAATAACAGTGAGTCAATGTATGAATGAGATGGTTTTGGGCACAAAATAAGTTTCTCATAGTCCGTTGGAAGTCCATAGAGTACTTAAATGCATAATCTTGTCAGCTACAAAAAAGTGCATCGGCGGTTAATGGCATGTTCTCTTCCGTTGATATTCTATTCAGTTCAGTTCAGTTCAGCTCAATTCAGTTCAGTTCAGCTCAGTTCAGTTTAGTTCAGTTCAGCTCTTAATTTACGTCTAATGATATTGCTAATGATATAAAGCCAAATTTCATTCTTTTAAGCTCTTATTACAACGACAACAACAACTAACAACAACAACTACAACAACAACAACAACAACAACAACAACAACAACAACAACAACAACAACAACAACAACAATAATAATAATAATAATAATAATAATATTAACAATAATAATAATAATAATAATAATCAATAAGTAATAAATAATAATAATAATAATAATAATAATAATAATAATAATAATAATAATAATAATAATAATCATCATCAATAAATAATAATAATAATAATAATAATAATAATAACAATAATAATTGAAATAATAATACTAATAATAATAATCAATAAATAATAATAATAATCATCAATAAATAATAATAATAACAATAACAATAATAATAATAATCAATAAATAATAATAATAATAATAATAATAATCAATAATTATTTAATAATAATAATAATAATATTAATAATAATATGTACATTTGTATATATACATATGTATAGTAATAAATAATCAATAAATAATCAAAGATCACTAATCCGTAGTTAAAAATCACTAATCCGTAGCTAAAAATTACTAATTAATAAGTTCAATTCAGTTCAGTCAATCGGAACATGCCCTAAGTTTAATGGCCCATAATACACAAAATTGGACCATTTTATGAATGATATGTGTAACGTTGATTGAAACCATAAATGACCACTAATTGGTCACATAAAAGGTTTGTTGTGAATTTGATTTCATGAATGAAGACATGTACGTAAATGGTAAAACCGATCAGTTTAATGGCAAAATGAACAACCCTGACTAGCTACTCAAATAGCCTCCCACCATGTCGTGCATTTTATGAGAAGCACATCGTTCACTTTCGTTTTGGAGTCCGAAAAAGTAATAAATTGTCTAAAATGAAAGTTATAACCCCGCTTTGGACCAAATTTGGAAAATTTTCTCAAGATTGAAGTGAATGTGAAGGATATCTCCCGAGATCGATTATAAAAGCTAAGTTAATTTAGATCCATTATAAGCCTACC